TCTCATCGCAGAGGGATGCCCGCCAGCCCTTACGCTCAGCCCCAGTGCTGGGACATCGCAGGAAAACCACTCTGCACCTTCCCATCCGGGTGGGCACCGTCTGCACTCGAAGCTGCTGGGCAGGCAGGTCTCTGCGCATCCCCTTCTTCAGCAGAGGGGAAGCGAGGATCTGAGATTCAGCAACATGCCAGGGGTCAGGCAGCAAAACAAGACGCAGGCAGGACTGAACCCAAGCTGGCCGGCTGCCTCTAACCACCAGACGACATGCTCCTGCCAGCGTTGCTTTAACAGCTCGTGGTGGGCAGCCAACGAGCAGAACCGAGATAAGGGGATGGGGGAAGCAAGGAATGCGCTGCATTTTTTCCTGAGCCACCATGGGAATAAGCTATTCCGACCACGGATCGCAGGGAGGCTGTCTGACACGAACAACTCGAGGAGCCCAAATAGAAAAGGCAGCAAGTAGAAGTAAACAACCAAGAAGAAGAAAACAGAGAAGAAAATCAGGGTGGACAACAAGAGGTGAGTACGGGAAAAGACAAGCAGAGGAACAAATGGGAGAAGGAAAACCAGACCGAGAGGTAGGAAAGGAAAAGGAAGAGACAAATGGATGCCAGGAGGACAAACCTGCCGGGGTTGGAACTCCCGATGAGCGCCAGAGCTGGAAGGATGCGAGAGCGGGACAGAGGCTCCCAGGCTCTGCACACGCAAGAGTAAACCAGCAGATTGCAGCCCTTTTATTGGATTAAGACTCGCTTAAGAGGCAAGATAAATGTGGATCATTTCTCAGGTGACATGCACAAGAGGAGAGAAGGCTCTCTTTGCCTTGTTTCCCACTAAGGGGGGAGAAAAGGGATTGCTGGCGTTTTGGGGTTGCTGTAGGGACAGCGGGAGGTCTCCGCAGGAGCCACCAGCTTTCAACTTCTTCGCTCCAACAGCAGAAGGTGGCGAGCTTCAAATAAAGAGTGCTTTTGTCTCGCACGCCTTCGTGCTATTTCGGCTTTGGAACTAGATTAGTATCACAGACCAGCAGAAAGCAGAGCTTTAATAAATTGGACCCAAAATCCTTCCTTGCCTCAGTTGCCAGTTTTTGCCTCATTTGGAGCTCAAGCTGCCTCACGAGCCACAGCATGCACCGTCCAGCAAAGAGGAGGAGAAAGGAATCAGCAAAGCTAAATAAAACCAGACAGGAGCAGCCCTCAGGTTTCTCCCCCAAGCTTGGGAAAGCCTTGCACTACCCTGCCCCCCACGGTGCTTCTCTCCGGGCACCTCCCAGCAGCAAGACACCGGCTCGTGGGAGCAACGGGCTGAGGTGATACGGCACATTCACGGGCCCTAACACTGGGGACTTTGTGGTGCTGGCTTTTAAAAAAAATAGCCTAAAAAAAGCCTAATAATGAAGTATTTATTTCAGTAAACAACATATGAATGAAAGAAGTGTTTTCTCAATACTTCATTTTTTCCTTGCCTTCTCTCCCTTCCCCCCAGCAATTTTCTTTTAATAAGTGGAACTAACGAGGCTTTGCTCACTGACGGCCGAGCTCAGGAGCAGGACCGCGCTCCGCTTGCCCAGTGCAGCACATAAACACGTGCCGTGCGAATAAAGCCTGCCTTGTGCCTGGGGAGAAACACGACCCGTGAGCGCGTCCCAGCCGGCGAGCAGGGGAGATGTGCTCCGACGGACGCATGGACCGTGAGACCTGTGACGGGAGCATCCCTGCACTTTTGGGTAGGCAGTGTGGGACATTCAGCACCTTATTTATTGTGGCAGCAAATAACTGCATCTCCTGGCCCAGAGAACTGCCATCGCCCAGGGACCCTGCCCCGCAGGGCTTCGAGGTGTCCCCAGGGACAGGGGAAAGGGCCAAGGGGAGATGAAGGGATCTATTGTCCCCATCCTACCTGGCAGCGCTCAGCGTAGGGGACACGGTGTCAGGCAGACACTGTGACGCTGTACAGCTCCTTCTCTTCTACCTCGGCTCCATCCAGCCCTACCTGAGCACTGAACAACTGGGAACTGGAAAACTGGCTCAGCTTGCCCTGCGTGGGCATGAGAGGTAAGGATGCTTTCTGCTATGGCAGGGTTTTTTGGTAGGCATTTCAGGCAGAAAACACTAATCCCTCCACCAGACTGACACCCAGCTTTTCAAAGCAATGGGCACTGATGATGCTGTGCTTATAATCTCTACCTCCTCCCTGGCAACAGGTAAGAGCAGGTCCAGGAGCCCTTCCTTGCCTTCAAGCCTTGGGATTAAGATGGGCAGGATTCTCAGAGGCCGCTGATTTGGGAAAACACTGTCCCTCACTTTTCCATCGCCCTCCTGCCCGCATGGGATGAGCTGAACCTCCCATCATACACAGCGTGGATGTTCACCCTTTGCACAGAGGCAGGTAAAACAATGCAGTGATGACCTTGGGTTAAGCTTATAACTACATACAGATTTGATGCATGTAGATATTTGCTCTGGAAACCAAACTAGGCGTCTGTAGATTTCCAAGGGCATGAGCCACGCTTTCTGTCGGCCACAGGGTGCAGCAGCCTTGCCTGCAGCCCAGGACCTCCCGTGCAAGGCACGGGGCAAGCAGGGGCAGCGACACCTCCCAGGGCTCCAAAGGCCCCTCCCCTGTGTGCAGCACGATGGTTTGGAGCGACTAACCGAGCACGCTGATCCTGCTACGATGATCACAGGTCCCTGAAGACGTACAAGGGATGCAGAGAAATGAAGTTTCACACCAGGGAAAAGGCCAGGTGCTCCCTTTGCAGGAGGTGGCTGCAGAGGAGGCTGGTGCTTGCATGGGAAAAGCATCCGAGTGCTTCTCCAAGGGCAAGCGTGCACGTGTGGACCAGGCACATGCACCGCCGGCATGCGTGAAAACCTGTCTGCAGTGTGCCTGTCTTGCCGGGGAGGCAGCACTCTGTGGTTCCTGTGCAGGTGCCCCCAGCCGCTCTTTGGAAGTTTGGCTGTGTGCAGGTAAAAGCCAATTAAATTCCTGCACTGCAACAACACAGCTAGCACAGCTCCTCGGTTGTTGGCTTAACCACGGCAACAGGGAGAGCATTAACAAGCACTTTGAGATGGTCGAGGAGCAGGCGGTGGGCAGGGTCCTTGGCAGCAACGCTGCTGCCCACTCAGCTCCTCATCACCACGACCCCCCTGGGTCACCCCTCTGCTGTGTCCTGCCGCTGAGTGCCAGCGAGTCCCAGCACCCAAGTCCCAGCACCACGGCCCACCTAAGCCCGGCTGCCAGGTTGGACGTCTGATCCAGCTCAAGATGTCTCCAGCCACGGATAAAAGACACAACCGCAGGGCAGTTCTCCTCCTCCTGGCCAGACCAGCCATGCCCATGTCCCTGCAGGAGCGGTGACATCAGGTCCTTCTCTTTCAGGCCTCACGCTTTCCAGCCTCGATCTCCAACACAATGACATGTGGCAAACCGAAGGCAAAGGCAATTCCTCCTCACCAAGAGCTCATTTCCAAGCTGGCTTACCAAAACCCCATAAAATAGCATCATCTACCACTGCTGCGGTGTCGCTGCTGTACAAGGTGCTTTGCAAACTAATACAAGGCAGATGGTTTCCCCCAGCAAAATGCTACAGAGCAAGTGAAAATGCACCACAAATATACCTTGACACAGCAGGGCTCAAACGAGATCCGGGGGCTTCAAAGAGACATTTAAAGGGAGAAAAAAGATTTATTGACTTCTCTTGCTTCTTTATTATGAATAAAGAGAAACTTTGTTTTTAATGAGTTCTTTGCTTCTTTTCCTATTTGGCATATTACAAATTCACATATTTGTCTATTTGGAAGAGTCATAGTAATTGCAGAACAGCTTTCCTGATGACATCGTTTCAGCAAAGGGAAGAAAGTTGTGCAACTGGAGAAGAAAGCAATCTGTCACCAAATAGCTTAAATTCTTTGTCTGGCCTCATTAATACCTAGTTAGCTTTGATGCCTAACTAACCTCACAGATAGAGGAAGCCTTTGAGGAGGACTCCACAACCTCACACTGAGGTGTTAGAACATACAATAAATGCCAGAAAGATCTCCAAAAAAAGCAGGGAAAACAAAAACCAAACTCGACATTCTTGCAATTTCTAAGCATTTCTTTTTTTCTTTCTTTTTTTTTTTAAAGTTTTACCCTCCTTTATCCATCTAAGGAAGCAGAAAGCAATGCAATTTCCAGGTCTTTTAAATATCCTTAGCAGGTCACCTCTAACGCTGGGAGGGTTCACTGTGATCTACTTCCAAGGCTGTTGCATCAGAGCTTAGAAACCCGGGATAAATTACTCCCTGCTTGAGCAGGAACTGCAGTTTGAGACCTGTGCTCGGCATGAGGGGCCCCACGGGTGCCGCAGCAGCAGCATCGGGGAAGGAGGGAGCACTGCATCCCTCCGGGGTGGGCAAATGGGGCTTCCCCGGGGGGTGGCTCATGCTGGGGCAGCCCTGTACCCTCACACCGCTCACCCCAGGCACGGCGCTAGCAGGGAGTCCCTGCAGCTCCCGGTGCCCCTGTGGCTCCCGGTGCCC